GCTGACTAGAACTTTTTTCTTTCACTCCCGGTTGCCTAAACGAGAGAAATCCGTGGATTCCCCCATTGGCGCTAAACAGCATTGATGGAGGAATCTCCAGCCGGCTATTGTATTCTGACAGCCAGCACCCGCAGCAATGACAGCAGATGACTTCATGTAGTAACTGTTTGACCTACAATTTTTCGATCCAAGTTTGGTAATCCGGTGTTCTATCACAGATTGTGACTGTGTTAGAATGTGTGACCGGTGATGTGATCACGCCCATATTCGCGGCGGTGGAATGTGTGACCGGTCACGTGGTCACACATTCTAACGTAGGCACGCCCATTTTTTTCCGGGGTAAAAATGTGTGACCGGCAAAAGGTGAAGAATTCAAAGCTTTCTTAGCTGTTCCCGGGCAGATCGGCATCGCAGATGGTATGTGCAGGGGAACCGGACTGCCCTGGAACAGCTGATCGGTCCTGAAATCTCACTATCCGAGTGCAATACAAAGTCGGATAGAAGTGAGATCCCCCCCCCCCCCAAAGATAGGCTTTAAATAAGAACTATATATCACTTTAGCTTCTTTATAGATGTTTTGTTGCTCCTTTGTTGCTCCAAACTATTAAAAAAATAAATAGTAGGGATCCACCAATACCGATATTAGTATCAGTGCCGATGCCAGTATTTGGCTGAGTACTTGTACTCGTCCAAATTCTCCGATGCCTAGTACGATACTTCCGGTATCAGGAAGACGGGCAGCAAGTCATTACACTCTGCCCAGCTTCCTGATTGGCCGGGAAGCCGGCTCCATGCTCCTAAAGTCACTTGTGACGAGGGAACATGGAGACGGCTTCCCGGCCAATCAGGAAGCATGTAATGACTCGCTGTCTGGCTTCCTGATTGGTCAGGAATCTGGCCAATCAGGAAGCCGGGCGCCGTGTAATGATGTGGCGCCCGGCTTTCCGATTGGCTGGGAAGCCGGCTTCATGCTCCCTCGTCACCTCATGGAGCACCTAGTGACGAGAAGCATGGGGATGGCTTCCCTGCTAATCGGGAAGCCGGGTGGCAAGTTTTTACACACCACCTGGCTTCCTTAATGGGACTTTCGATATCGGTATTCAGTATCGACGAGTACCAAAAAAAATATATATATATCGGTACTCCATACTGAAATACCGGTATTGATGCATCCCTAATAAATAGAATTCTGTCCCTCACTCCTCTGGTAACAGGATGACAACTCTGTCATGTATGCAGTGGCAGCGTTGTCACCTGAAGATGCCTCCTCTCACTGCTAGAGACCAAACAGAAATAGAAGTGGTGTCCTGTCCATGCTGAGAGTAGCACAGAGCATCTTGGGACTCCCGGTTGAAGTCTGTGTCACACTAGCTACTGCAAATGCGCTTTCATAGGAAGTCACGGGACTGAGCGGCAGTGTTCCCGGTGGGTGCATGAAATGGTTCATGACTGAGGGGTTCATAGTCCTTTAAATTCCACAGAATTATTTAATCACAAAAGTTACAATGGGAGGGGGGGGGGGGGTTTTTTAAACGGGGCAA